TTGATTCTCTGGTCAGGCTTACCAGATGGTCAGGACTGGTACTGTATTCAGTAATAGCAGGGTTATGAATCAGTTTCCCTGCCCTGGCAGGGACCCAAGAGCTGTGTAGCTTGTTGTGTGGGGACCTGAATCAGGCTGGATTGTGCATTGAATTCTCTAGTTCCATGAGGCCATCAGTTTTGCTCTGAAGATGGGAGAACCCACAGGCTGTGCTCTCTGTTCAAGTGCCATTGTACATAAGGCTATTGATGGGTTATGCAGCTTCCCAGGTGCTCTGGTTAGGTTCCCTGGTCAGACAGGCTATAGGTTGTATCGGTAATGAGTGGGGCTACAAGTTAGATTCCCTGCCTGGGCACAGCAGGAGAAGCAGCTCTAAAGCCAACAAAGCTGGTTGTTTGTTGTCTTAACTTAAGCTGTCCCACGCCCCAAGCTCCTTTACCAAACAGGCCTTTGTTCTGAAAGCCATCACCTGCCCATCTTTCAGTTCTAGTGCTGCTAGACCGCACAGCTTCCAGGAGTTGGTCAGCTGGAGCTAAAAGACACTCTGCTGTGGGTGGGGCTATGTCTCAGCTCCCTGCTGGGCAGGAGGGGGAGGGGTCACTCCAGCTACTTTCTGTTTCCCAAACAGGTTCTCAGGTAGACAGGGGCTAGGAGCTACCCTCAGCCTTAACTCTGAATTAATCCCCCTGCCGGTACATAGGATGGGGACACTCCACACCCTATACTGGCTTTGTTCTGGGTGTTCCACGCTGCCCTCCCCCTTCTTGGCTCAAGGACCGCTGGACCTCACAGCTTCTGGGAATTGTCACCAATCCTTTTGGTCAGATGGACCTGGGAGACACTCTCCACAGTGGGTGAGGCTATGATTTACCTCCTTGCCTGGGTATGAGCATACTGGGCTATAGGGCTGACAAAACTCCTTGCTTAAGAATCTGAATCAGACAGATCTGTACCCACCAAGTTCACTGATCAGTGTGTGCCTCCAACTTGGTTCTGCAGATGAGCAGCGCTGCTGGTTGAGATTACTATTTGGGCACTGCAGGTATGAACTTGGTCTGCCAAGATCTATGTCCTGGTTGTTGCAAACCCCTACCCCTTTATCCATCACAGTCAGATTCCCAGTGGTGGAACCTCACAGATGCCTCTGTAATCCCCATGGTGTAGATCAGAATAGGGACTCCTACAAAGCAACCCACAATTTTTTGGGGGGTTGCTGGTTATCCTCTTGGGTATCCTCAGAGGCTCAGGGGAGACTTCTCCACGCAGTGTTGTGCTGGCTGGGGGTGCGGCAGTGTGGTCAACTTGTGGTCTCTTCTCTTACCCTTCTAATGCAGTCTGTCTTGGTCTCTGTGGTGCAGGGGCATGCTTCAGCCTCACCCCCATGTTCCAGGACTCTCTCAGTGGTGTCTTGTTCTTGAGTAGTTGTTCGTTGCTCTTATGAGGGAAAGCTAAGTTGGGCACATCCTATGTTGCCATCTTGGTGACTGAGAGCAAATATTCCTCTTTTCATAGTTGTTGCCAAGACTCATGCTTGTTAAAAGTGTTCAAAGTATGTAGACTAACAGTACTACAGAAGCAAAGTGCTTTTCCTCTGTTACAAGGTTTATTTTAAATTTCATCCCAGGCAGTAAGTTTGGAGTCTTAAGGCCTGCTATTTGTTTAAATTTAGTTAATCCATGAGTTCCAAGAACTCTAATCATTGAGGGGATTTTTAAATTCATATTTAAGAGTGAATTGCATTTCTCTGAGACTATCAGCTGGCAGCTACGAAGAATTAGCAACGAAAAAAATCACTTCTCTCATAAATTGCCTTTAGAAAATATGTTGTGTTAAGACAGATATAGAGACTGTTCCCATAGGCTTTGATCTATTAAAAAAAAAAGTGGTAGAAGACTTTCAAAAATTCACAATTAACTATCAAAATAATTAAAGAATTGCCTGAAGCAATGCCTATCAGAAGTCTCTTTTTCAAAATAAACAACAATTAAAGTCTTGCCTTGGCCTCTCAGCCCTCTACAGCCTTGTCCAGCAGCTTCTCTGGCCACGTTCCCTGCTCCTCTTTCCCCTTCGCTAAACTGCACCCACACTGACCTCCCGATTAACCCTCTGACACCCTCCAGGTGGGTCCTTCTTTCTGGAACATGCTTCCCCCAATACTTGTCTAAATGTCTTATTTCACCAAGCCTCTGTTCAAATTTTACCCCTAGAGCATTTCTGTTCTCTGTTCTGTATTCTCTACAGTATTTTTCTTTAGACACTTATAAATACCTGGGTTTCTTTTCTTTTCTTTTTTTTATTTAAATTCAATTAGCCAACATATCGTAGTAGTACATCATTAGTTTCAGATGTAGAGTTCAGTAATTCATCAGTTGTGTGTAACACCCAGTGCTCATCACATCACGTGCCCTCTTTAATGCCCATCACCCAGCTACCCCATCCCCCCACCCACCTCCCCTTCCACAACCCTCAGTTTGTTTCCTGGAGTCCAGAGTCTCTCATGGTTCGGCTCCCTCTCTGATTTCTTCCCATTCAGTTTTCCCTCCCTTCCCCTATGATCCTCTGTGCTGTTTCTTATATTCCTCATATGAGTGAAACCATATGATGATTGTCTTTCTCTGATTGACTTATTTCACTTAGCATAATACCTTCCAGTTCCATCCATGTGGATGCAAATGGTAGGTATTAATCCTTTCTGATGGCTGAGTAATAGTCCATTGTATATCTTTTCCTTTTATCCTTCCTTCTCCTCCTTCTTTCTCTTTTTCCTTCCTTTTCCTCCTCTTCCACCTCTTTTTTAAGTTTCTAACTCCTCCAAGAGAATGGAAGCTCCATGACAGCAGGGAATGTGTTATTGTCACCATAGTATCCTTAGTCTCTGGAAGGGGGCACACAATCAATATTTGTTGAACAAATAGATCATTACTCTGTGCAGATACTTTCTTTATACAACGTTGCACCCTCAGCCCATTCCTTAATGTTGACACTGCTTTCCTAAGATTATCTGAAGACTCAATTGGCCATAATCTAACAAATAGTCTGAATTAGACTAGCCCTTTCCTACCTTTTTCCATCAGAGCCTGATGTGTTATTTGTAAAATAATATGTGTGAATACAATAATGTTACAGGGCAGTGGAGAAATGGGAAGGGATTTAGAGCTTGATGAAAATTTTATTTCCTTCCTTTTGTAAAATTACAATGAAATCTAATTATAAAATATTAGAGATCATATTAAAAATTGAATGTATTCTGAAGCTTCCAAATAAAATATTCAAAAAAAATTATAACCATTAGTACTTCACAGGGCCCCTGTAACCCACTTTGTTGCACACAATGATAGGTTCTTTGGGAAACGCTGAGTTAAGAATTTAGTGGGGGTTGTTTTTGTTTTGTTTTTTGAGTTGTTTTTTGTTTTTTGGTTTTGTTTTTTTTTTTTTTTTGGTTTAGGACATTATGTACAAGTGCAGGTTTGTCAGTATCTTTGGTAAAACAGCTAAATCTTTCCAATAGAAATAGAAATCAAAATGAAAACCATTAGTAGTGCCATTTTAAAGTGCAATGCGAATGCTGCCTAGCAGATGATAGATTTTTCTTCCTCCTTGGACAGTCTCTGAGAGCAGTATGGGCTAAAACCACTTTCATTAAGAACAGCTGGGCTCACTCCATATTCTCCTACTTATTAGCACTGTGACCCTGGGAAGGTTCTTTACCTCTCTGCGTCTGAGTAGTTTCATTTACGGATGAAGGCAAGGGATTGATCTTTCCATCGGGAATCAACAATACAAATATTGAGCAAAGGAATAGGAGGGCCGCCAACCTCCAGACTTATCAAAGGAAGAGCAGGATTTCTCATCTGGTACAACAAAACAAAAGAAAGAACGGTGCCAGCAAGAAACGTAAAAATTACAAAAGCCCTTCAGCAAGCTTAATATTCCTTTCAGTGGACCAGAAAATCTTTGGGTGTAACAAATAAAACTTCTGAGAGAACTGGAGGTTGGAAGCAAACTCAGCCAGCTGCCAGTTCCCCACACATATTACCTGATGATGGGAGAGCTGCCGGCTATGCATTTTCCCCCCAAGTGGTGAGAAATAGAAAACAATGAATGATTTCATTTCATTTGCCTTACAGTAGTTTGTTGGGCCCTACAATGCTGAAAACCAGTGAGCCGATGGCTGTTCAGAAGATAGAGCTCTCTTCAGTTCTAAGTGCGGGCTGCCTTCTCTGTGTTTGGGAGAGCGGAACTTCAAAAGATCTCGTCCTTGTACTCGAGTATCAGCACTTTGAAATCTAAGCCAGTTTTCTGTAAAATTTTCACAATCAAGAGTAAATACGGTTTGGCACAGATACCAACACTTAAAATTTAGGCTTGAGGCCTATTGTTTAATCTGAAGCGGATTGTCTTCCATTTTTAAATGTTTTCTTCAGAAATGACTCTGATCAGAGCCCTGTTTCACACAAATAAGGTAGTTTCACCGAAAATGTTGATGGTTACTCAAGGTAATTGCCTCTCAAAAATCTATCTTCTTTATATATTTTAATTATTGGATACCTGCCAAACTCGGCTAAGATAAGTTAATGTTTAAAACAATAGCAGATCCTGTGACTGCTAAAAATTTCACAACCTAGGAGAAGGCAAGCACACGAGGAAATTTTAATTATTATCATTATGTCAGAATGACAAGAAGAAACAAAAATGGGAGGAGAAAATAATATCCTTCTGTCCTGAAGTTACTCCAGGACACCAAGGCTTCAACTGGATTTGCCAACGTTGCCACTGATTTTTTTATGATGATTCATCCTTCGCCTTTCATGCCGTGGAGACACCCCCCACTGTACACCTTGTCTCCAGATGGGGGCAGAAAGGGTCAGCTCCCCACCCAGCCTGAGTACTCATGTGGTCCTGATGGAGTAAATGGGGGTCCAAGGTGAAGTTTAAGAGTTGCAATCTTGATTTTGAAAAAAAATTTGACTTAGTGATTTAAAAACTCTTTTTCTTTCTAGGTGCCCTAGCTAAAATTTCACCTCTTCCATCACCCTGTTCCTCACCCCCCCAAGGGACTCCTGCCAACAGCCCAGTCAGCAAAATTTCTGCAGTGCGGCTTCCAGAATCTGCCAAGACGACTGCCAGACAAGGCCTAGGTTCTCACAGGGCATTAACTTATACTCAGAGTGCCCCTGACCTGTCTCCTCAGATCCTCCCTCCGCCTGTTACATGTAGCAGGTAAGGATTTTACATTGTTAACTGGTATTTAACCCGTCCGAAAACTATGATTAGTGTTCCTCTTAGGAACACTCACCACCAGTCCGCACAGCTCTGTACAGGTAGGTTTGCCAAAGAAGTTGACAGGAAAGTAAGTATAGGATAATATGATTTGTCTTGAGTAGAAACTTGCTTTTTCCATGGTTTCCTGTTAATAAAAAGCTTAGAGTCCACAGAGCCCATAAAGCTAACCTTTGGAGATGATAGAAAAACACGTAGTTGTATATTTCCTCTGCTTACTAATGGAGAATGCATAAGGCGTATAATTAAAAATCATATCAAGTAATTTAACATATTCTGTTGGAATATATTTTACTTGCTCTTCAGGGAGGATTTTATATCCATTTTAAGGATATTTTAAGTTTTCAATCCCCACTTTAAAAATGTGCAAATAGGGGCGCCTGGCTGGCTCAGTCAGAAGAGCATGCAACTCTTGATCTCGGGGTTGTGAGTTCGAGCCCCACGTTGGGTGTAGAGATTACTTAAAAATAAAAATCTTAGGGGTGCCTGGGTGGCTCAGATGGTTAATCATCTGCCTTCGGCTCAGGTCATGATCCCGAAGTCCTGGGATCGAGCCCCGCATCGGGCTCCCTGCTCAGCGGGAAGCCTGCTTCTTCCTCTCCCACTCCCCCTGCTTGTGTTCCCTCTCTCGCTGTGTCTCTCTCTGTCAAATAAATAAATAAAAAATCTTTAAAAAAA